CTAGAAAGGTGAGGCTTCACCACCCATTTATCCCTCCGCCTTTCAACCAGCCCCACATGTGATTATATCGGCCAGGCTGGCACAATTAACCAACTCATATGTATTGTGATGAATTTTATGAGCCCCAATAAATTGATTTTAAAAAAAAAAGCTAAATATTCCAAATATTCCTTAAATGAGGAAGGTTCAAAATCATGGAAAAATTTAATTTTTTTAAATTCCATTTTCCCACAATTGAAAAAAAACTTATTGTAAATTGGGGGGCAGATCTGCATTTTAGATAATCATTTTTATATTAACAATTTATACAAATTATGAAACCTTCCAGTAGCTTATGTCCCCCACCCCCTGCTTTTTTTCTCATCTTCATCTTGTGGAATATTATCTTCCTCTTCACCTTAGTTAATTCCTGCCTGTCCCCAGCCAGTTGCTTCCCTGTTCTCCCTTCCACCCCAGCAGCCATCAAAGTCTGTTTCTTGTGTTTCTAACAGTAGTCTCATACAACTCTGTGTGACTAACTCACTCAGCAAAACGTCCTCTTGGTTCTTCCGTGTCATGAAGCACTTCACCGTTCATCATTATCCTTTACTTTGCATAGCATTCCATTGTGAGTAACAGAGTTTAGGGCCCCATTCTTCCACGGGCGGGTATTTAGGTGGTTCCTTTTCACTGTTGTGATTAGTGCTGCGCTGAACATGGGTGTCTGTATGTCTTTTCAGGTATGTTTCTTGCGCCTTTGGTGTGTATACCAAGTAAAGGGATTGCTGGGTCATATCGTTATTTCTATTCTCAGTTGTTTGAAGAATGGCCATATGGCTTTCCACAGTGGTTGTACAGTATCACAGTCCCACCAGCTGTTTATGAGCCTTCTAATTTCTCTGCATATTCTTTCTAGTATTTGTTAGTGTCTGTTTCTCTGAACTTTGCCATCAATGCCCATGTGAGGTGTGATCTCATCACTGTTTTGATTTGCATCACTTGGATGGCTAGTGTTTGTGAGCATTTCTTTATATGCTTGTTGGACTCCCAGATGTCTTCTTTGGTGAACTGTCTGTCATGTCTTCTGTCCACTTTTAATTCAATTATTTGTCTTTTTCTAGTTGAGGTGTTGCAGTCATTTTTATAGATTTTAGACTTTAGTCCTTTGTCCATTGTGTCATTGTCACATTTCTCCAGGTTGGGGGTTCTCTGTTTACTCCTGTGATGAAGTCTTCTAATGCACATGTTGGTGTGTGAGATGTCATAGAGTAGGTTCTGATGCATGGCGACGCTATAGAACAGAACGAAACACTGCCTGGTCCTGTACCATCCTCACAATTGTTTGGGTTTCTTTTTGAACCCATTGTTACAACCATTGTGTCAGTTCACCTTGTCGAGGTCCTCCTCTTTTTTGCTGCCCCCTCTACATTACCAAGCATGATGCCTGTACCTGAGACAGTCAGGCCATCCTTGCTTCTAAGGATCTTTCTGGCTGTACTCCTTTGAGGACAAATTTGTTTGTTCTTTTGGTGGTCCATGGTACTTTAAATATTCTTTGAGAGCACCATAATTAAAATGCATCCATTCTTCTTTGATCATCCTAGTTAAGTATCCAGCTTTCATATGTATATGAGGCTATTGCAAATATCATGGTTTGGGTCAGGCAAACAGTGCTAGAAGTAACATCCTAGCTTTTCAAAACTCTAAAGAAGTCTTATGCAGCAGATTTATCCAACGCAGTCCATTGTTTTATCTCAATTGCTGATTCCACGAGTATTGGTTGGGTATCCAAGCAGCATGAAACCTTTGACGACATCAATCTTTTCCTCATTTACCACGATGTTACCTGTTGATTCAATTGTTTTGGTTTTCTTTACATTGAGTCATAATCCATACTGAAGGCTGCGATCCAAGATTGTATCATCTGCACATTGCAGGTTATTGATGGGCTTTCCTCCAGCCCCGATGCTGCATTTTTCTTTATAGTCAAGCGTCTCGGATGATTTGCTCAGGATATAGATTAACTAAGTATGGTGGGAAGATGCAACGCACACGTTTCCTGATTTTAAACCATGCGGTATGCCTGTTGGTACAACTGCCTCTTGAGTTTGTACAAGTTCTGCATGAGCACAGTGAAGTATTCTGGGATTCCCATTCTTCTCAAGGCTATCTATACTTTGTTAAGATCCACACAGTTGAATGCCTTTACATAGTCAATAAAACACAAACATCTTTCTGGAATTCTCTGCTTTGAGCAAAGATCCATCTGACATTAGCAATGTTATCCCTTGTTCTATATCCTCTTCTGAATCTGGCCTGAACCTCTGATAGTCCCCTCTCAATGAACTGCTTCAACCATTGTTGGATGATCCTCAGCAAAATTTTACTTACGTATGATATTAATGATATTGGGCTATAATTTATGCATTCTGTTGGGTCACCCTACTTTGGAATGTATGCACATAGGGATTTCTTCTAGTCAGTTGGCCAGGTAACTGTCTTCCATATTTCTTGGCATCGACCAATGAGTGCTTCCAGTGCTTCATCAGCTTATTAAAACATTTCAGCTGTTATTCCAGCATGTCCTGGAACTTTGTTTTTAGTTAATGCCGTCAGCGCAGCTTGAACTTCTTCCTTTGGTACCATTGGTTCTTGCTCATATGCTACCTCTTGTAATGGTTGAATGTTAATTACTTATTTTTGGTACAGTAGCTCTGTATTCTTTCCATCTTCTTTTAATGCTTCCTGTATTTTTCAATATTTTATCCAAATAATCTTTCAGTATCGCAACTTGAGACTTGAATTTTTTAATTTATTTTTTAGTTCTTTCAGGTTGTTATTCTGAGCATGTTTGGCTTTTTGGTTTCTTAACTGTTGGTAGACCTTTGCATATTTTGTTTTAATACTTTGTCTTCTTGAGCTGCCCATTGAGATTTTCTGTTCAGCTCTTTTTCCTTCATCATTTCTTCCATTTGCATTAGCTACTCTATGATTAAGAGGCTCTTAGACAGCTACTTGAATCTCTTCTTTCCTATCTTTTTAATGACCTTTTGCTTTCTTGATGTTCTTGATGTCATTTCATGGCTTATCAGATCTTCTGTCATTAGTGTTCAATGCTTCAAGTTTGTTCTTGAGATGTTCTTGAACTTCAGGTGGGCTATACTACTCAAGGTTGTATTTTGGGTCTCGTAGACTTGGGTGAATTTTCTTCACCTTCAACCTGAATTTACATATAAACAGTTGATGGAATGTTCCACAGCCACAGCCAGCCCCTGACTTGGTTTTAGCTGCTGATATTGACATACTCTATTGCCTCTTCCCACAGGTGTAGTCAGTATGATTTCTGTGTATTCCATCTGGAGAATTCTGTGTGTATAGTTGCCATTTGTCTTTTTGTAAAAGGTACTGGAAAAGCAATTGTTGGTCTTGCAAAATTGTATAATGTGATCTCCAGCTTCTTTTCTACCACAATGGCCATGTTACCCAACTACTGTTCCTTCCTCTGTGTTTCCAACTTTTGCGTTCCAATTGTCGGTAATTATCATTGACTCTTAATTGCATGTGTGATCAGTTTCAGACTGATGATGTTGATAACGTTTTTCAGTCTTCAACACTAGCTTTAGTGGTTGGTGCACAAATTTCAATAGTTGTTGTATTGACTCGATTTCCTTGGTTTTGTTTTGTCATAGAAAGCATTCAAATGTGGAAATGGCCTTAGTTTGAAGTGGAATGTGATGCCATTTCTCTTGAATTTGTCATCTCCAGCATAGTAAACCATTCTGTGAACCAAAATGGTTAATACTAGTCTATTTCAGTTCACTAATGCCTAG